TGTGTCCGTGTGTCTGTGTGTCTGTGTGTCTGTGTGTCTGTGTGTCTGTGTGTCTGTGTGTCTGTGTGTCTGTGTGTCTGTGTGTCTGTGTGTCTGTGTGTCTGTGTGTCTGTGTCTCTGTGTGTGTGTGTTCATGTGTGTTCGACTTTCGCAGGGGTAATGCGTAGGCCGGTAGCGGTCTTCCAGGTGTTGAGCAGAGATCATCGAGTGCTTTGAACGTAGAAAACGGCGAAGTTGTTGCAGCGTCGGCAGCAGCAGGGCTGCAGTGCTGCCGTGGTCGGACGACGTTCATGCCGCGTTAGTGAAGAGGGAAGAGAAAGAGAGTGAGAGGGAGAGAGGATGTGGTGGCCTTCGTTTGTATCTCGATGTTGACCAAACACATGACAGCGAATCTGCCAAGCGAGCAAAGGCAAAGCAGCCGCAGAAGCGTCCCCGACTTCCTTTGCCAGTTTTCTGAGAAAGTAACGCCACATCCGACAGTGTGTTCTCAGACGGAAGCACAGGTCAGAAATCTATGCAGCTCGTGAGGATGCACACTCTGGGTAGTGGGGAACATAATAGACCTTACTGTGCTTCTGCCGTTGTTATGTCAGCACTGTCAACCTAACTAGGCAAGACTCCTGCTCGCGACTCTAAGACATCTGTGGCTCCTCTTGAAGGTGTTGGAGCTTGGCAACGATGGCGTCAAGTTGATGCTGCCTGTGAGTGAACAACTCGGCTGAAAGGGGCACACGGTGATTGCCAGCTTGTCCGGACAGTGGCTTTGCTACCTACCCCATGCAGTCTAGTCTTCTGAAACGCCCGCTGTTTGCAACCACGTGGACACTGCTGCGCGCAACTCCACGAGAGCCGTGGCGCCCACAGCTGCCGCCTCGACGGCTTCAGAAACTCCCGGATTGCTTGCATCGGGCCGAATTTCCGAATACCGCAACCAGGCAAGCCAGGGCGAAGTTTACACAACCTTTAGCCTGAGCTGGCCCGATCCAGAAGCAAGGGAACGACACTGTAAGCCCTGGGCCTCACGTACCGCGGTGATTTCTCGGGCATGCTGTTCTTGTCCTCGGAATGTCGTCAAGCTTGGCGCAACCTGAGCCTAACACCGACATCATTCAATTTGACTTGTCAGTACAGCTGGCAGCACTGTCGGGCAAGCAGCGCTCACCGTGGCGATTCAAACTCTCCGCCAGCCACTGGGCATATGCGGAAAGGGCCTTGTCTGCGACTAAAGTGAGTAAAGGCTCAAAAGATCGCGACGTCAGGAGTAAACTAAGCAATAATTCGTTCACAGACAAGACGGGAAAGGCAGTTCAGCACATTGGGATCTCTAGCACATGGGACCTGCCCACAGCTGACTTGGCCCACCTTGGCCTGCATCTTACGTTAGCAATGTCAACCCAGGCATGTCTTGGCGGATGCCACGACGTACACCGCCACTCAAGTAGGCCGCTTTTTCTGCCATGTGCACTTGCTTTGGTCTCTGCCAAAGTGCCTTGACCACGCGAACCGACAGATCAAGCACCGTGCAAGAATCCGGTTGGGACCAGGGAGAATTCGAGATTCCTCACAGGTCCGTGAATTCCATGATCGGGAGGTAGTCGCATCCCCCTTATATTAAACAGGGCCCGCCTCGTAAAGGGTTTTGATTATTAGGGGGTGGTCACTATCTGCACATTTGGGGGGTCTTGTTCGTGCTCTTGCTCCTGCTTTTGCTCTTGCTCCCGCCCTTGCTCCTGAAGGCCCCTCCAAAATAGGTTCTGCAAGGTGGGGGTGTGCAAGAGGATCTTCCGGGAAGGGTTGCCATTTTTAGGGAGGTGTTTAACAAAAGGGTGAACTGATGAAAAGAAAAAGGCTCAGCGAACATGTATGCCGCAGTCAGCGCCCCTCATCAGCAGCATCCGTCTGCCCCCACAGCACTCAGCCTTTTGCCGAATCTGAAAAAGCATCGTGGGTTGACAGGATGCATGCTTCGGCCGGAAATCCGGTTTCCCATACATCAAGAACTGTATTCCGTCGGTCGATCAATACACTTGCAAAGTTTGCGGCTTCCTCGATGGAACGAGACTCCACATTGCTACATCAAGGGATGCTTCGGAACACAGCCCCAAATCCAGACCGGGTCGGTTCAATGGTTACCAGTAGGTTCACCGGCCAAGCTATGCTTTCCTTGTTCAGGAAAGCCTGCAGAATCTACACGCAGCCAACGCTCGACTTCTGTGTCCTCACCCAGTATCTCTCCACAAACACTCGAAGCATGAACACCTTCGAACCTGCCCTCGAGAATTGCAACACTTAAACCTGGGATGGCCGTTCATGGAGGCCATCCAGCTGCTGCAATGCCTTGCACCGTGCTTCAATATGGCCAGGGAACCACCTTGACACGGACGTCCGAGCGGCTAGAATTCAAACTTCTTCGGACCGCGATGGCCACAGCAGTAACATCCGACGCAAGGGGGCGGTGTATTGTGCTTGGAGTTGCCAGAGGCAGGTGTTTAAACAGATCTACCGACCAAATACCTGTTTGGATGTTGGGCATGCTGTGGCCAATGCCATGTCAAGAAATGACGCAGGATTTGTTGAGCTTTGATCCGGAGGTTCAAGACATGCTGCATCATTCATATTCTGTAGCAGAAGCACTTCTCCCACCAAGTGCAGACGTGGTCGTCCCGGATCTCCTAAATCCCTGCTTTTGCTGTTTCACAAATTTCGATTTCGCTGCATGCTGCTCTCGCCGAATTTTCATTACGGTAGCTGTGGTCTGATCCATTGGGTGAAAGCACCGCGAGGCGTGTGTGCCTGTGGTGGACCTGCCTTGCAAGCCCTCGACACAGCTCAACTAAAAATCGCCACGTCGACAGTCCGCGTTTCAGCCTGCATGCACATTGCGGTTCGTAGGCAGGTGAATAGAGGTAAGAGGTAGCCGCGTTTGGAATCAGACTGCGACTAGGTTTACTTCAGAGACGAATGGGGATCTTCCAGATCTATTTTCCCAGGCTAGAGAGGTCTCCTTGTCACCAAAACGAAATCTTCAGTAGCATCAGTGCCTGCCCGAAAGCCGCCCGCCCCTGTGAAGGGGGATGCTGCCGTTGACGGAACACCTGAAGCCAAGGTGCATGCTGGAAGGGGTTGCTTAAGTCTTGCAAGGCTTCTATGAGCATGTTCGTGGCTCTCTGTGGGGAGGTTGGGATCCTTGATGACTGCCTGAGCTACCCGCGCCCCAGCACAGTCGAGCAGTTTGTCAAATCACGACGACCTGCCTCCTCCTCCAGTAAGCCAGCAAGGACGGGGCTGAAGCGACGACAATTCGTGATGCAGCCCGTGGCCTGTTAGATGGCATTGTGGAAAAAAGCAACTAACGAAGATGATGCTCATTCTGGTGCTCTCGGGCTGGTCGAGTGAGACATGCCAGAGATCTCGTGCCGACCCAAAACCTGTGTTCAAGGCCTGCGACGCGCTCATTCGCAAAAGCGCTTTCAGCAAATTGCGCCTAGGCTGCTCTAGTCCAAACGTCGCAGATGTTACATGATGCTGCTGGTTTGCTAGTGATCTGTCTGATACATCCTGCCTGAACCGATGGCCACACCAATGGCAATGACACCACTGCAAGCGGAAAGCTCGCAAAAAGTCTGAAGTCGACACAAGTCGGCCAAAAAGCCTCAGGCAAACAGCCTCCGCACCAAGAGCCAAGTGTCTGCTTGGTTGGTGGAATTGTCGGCGCATCTGCAGGAAGCACACGACCTCGAGGCATCTCAGGTCTGTGCGAAAGCAAACCTTGAACCGGCCTTGATTGCTCAAGTTGCCTGCGAGAAAGAATGTGGCTTTGAATACGGGGACAAGCCAACGACGCCAGAGCCCGAACAAGAACAAAACTTGTGAGAGCAATGACTATCCCAAAAAAAAAATCTGGCCCAGCAGCAGCGACCGAGTACCAATTGTTCCATCTCAAAAACCTGGCCTTGGCACGGAGGCAAGAAAAACGTCGAAACTCCGAAACTTTGTCTGCCCAGACGGTCTGAAGATTGGCGAGGACAAATGTGGGCTTCTCGGATTTGCAAATTTCGACCATGTCGGGGAGCTTTGATGCGCGAGAGTCGGCGCGTTAAACCGCCGGCAGCGGAGCTGTGTGCAACAACGACGGTGCCGGTCGCAGCGTGTTGCTGCGCTCAATCCTACGAACTTAGTCTCTAAAAGTGTCCGATGTCGGGTCTTGCTCTACGCCGAGGCATATCATGGGATGACGAAACCCTGGTCGCAATGATCTTCGCCATGTGCATCTGCAGAGCTGATTCTTGACACAGTGGCTGGACCAGCCCTCCTGCGACTTGGCCTCCAAAACCATCAACAAAGTCCTGATGTCTGGGCAGATAGGGGGCTAAGCATATAGCTAGATATAGATAAATACATACATACATACATACATACATACATACGTCCTAGCATGCATGTGCATGCTAGCATGCATACCTGCATACATGCATAGATTCCTACATTGGGTCTAACGGATGCATTAGATACACACACACACACACACCTCTTCAATACCTTGGCTACGTACCGGCACCACCACGCCTCCCCTCAGGCACCCTGGACGTACCCAGGTGTACACTCGGCTGTTATTTCTGCATGACCATCCACGCATAATTTAGTGCCTTGTTCACTTGGCGTGTTTTGTTTGTCCCTTACCGAGCTCTATCGGCTCGATCTCTCTCTTCTTCCACCGGGCATAGGGGGTCTGTTAAACCCCCTGGCCTTTAGAGGCCCCCCTTATTGCGGAAGTAGCAACAGTGGACAGTCCCCCGCTACGAGATAGATAAACTTAAAATCAAAGTACGAAGCCCCTATTGATGTACCCTCTGACCTGGAAAAGTCCACCCTTGTCGAAAAGAAACATGCATACAGCTTCGGACACCATTCAGGATGTGACGATCTCTCTCTCTCTCTCGCAGCATGGAACTTTTGGATTGTGTAGTTGGTGAACGGTGGCCGTGAGGAATCCGGATCCGGGCCAGGGTAGAATGGTCTCTGTCTCCCTCCTCGTTGATCCGAGGGAGATTGAAAGTGTTAGAGAACTGTATGGCATGCTATAAAACGTTCCACAAGGGTGTCTGACATCAGCTCTTGTATTCTGGGATTCAAGACTCGACCTGGCACGCAAGTCTGTCCGAACTCCAAGTCCCCTTACTCGACACCTCCCTCCTGTCATGGTTGAGAAATGTCCATCGCCGTCGTGAATTCCCAGCCCATGAAAAAGGGTGGAGCAAGGTGCGCTCTGCATCCGGACGCGGTGTACCTACTTTGGTTTCATAAAATCACGAACTGAGCTTCCCAATTCCAGCTTGGGCACCGAAAATCTTTTCTGGTCGCACTGGCAAAAACATAGTAAAACGTTTGGTGTCAGGACAGATCTAGTGGGTATGACACCCAACATCCAGGACTCCGCGAACGTCAATGGGCATTCACATGAAAAGCCAGACGGTAAAAGGCTGAGCAGAAGAAACCCGCATGGCTAAAGCGAGATAGTCCCCGAACCTCTCAACCCGGCTAGTAGCATCCCGACTCTTCAATTTCTCAAATCTCGACCGAGCGACACCAGCAACTCGCGCTCAGAGAGCCTTTCCAGCCAGCTGCGCTGCGTCCTTTGCTGCGATATCGCTGCAACGGATGCAATGTTTTGTTGAAGCTTCGGGGGACGCGCCCTTGCCGGTTCAAGTACTTGTGAGCAGTCTGCGCGTGGCCTCACAATGAACAGCCTGAACTCAACGACCAGGGTCGTTCTACTGGTCCCTGCTTTTTGAAGCCCCAGTGACTCCGTGCCCTTGACGATTGTGCGAATTTGACCCTCTAGATTGGGCCCAAGGCTCTTGTCCAAGCGAACTCGCTCGTGGTAGAAATGGCACATCTGGCAGCCACCCAGGCGTCGGCAGTATCCGCTCTGGAAGTAGGCCTGGGTGGCAAGTCGTAGCTTTCGGACGTCACTCTTGTGCTGGCACGATCAGTAGCAGTAAAGGATGCAGTTCTTCTAAATCGGAGTATCGAACGCGTCGCGCGTGTAGCAATTTTATGTGATGCTCAAAAGCTCTGTTGCCAGTCGTGTAGGTTCTCTGGCAAGACACGCAAGGGCGCGAGCAAAACTCTGGGTGACCACCAGATCCGGGATTGAACTCGTGGAGACCTTGGACCAAAACTCATCGCAGCTGCTTCCCTGCCATACGATCTGCGTGCAAGCCCTCCTAAGCCCTCCCATAGGGCCCTCCTGCGACCACGTAGCGTCGAACATATGCATCTAGCCCATTTGATGGTTTTGCCTCGGGGACTCCGGGCTGCTGCGGCTGCCCTCTCACTGGCTCACTGGCTCGGCATCCGCAACATCCCCCGGGCCTCATTCCACGAAGCTGAACTCTTGGGCGGTGGCAGACTCTTCGTCCGCTCCTCTGAGCTGATAATCCCTACATGGAATTTGCGAAGACAGCAACTCCCAAGCGCGACACCCCACTCGACATTTTCGAAGTGCCTTTCAAAAGCAGCTTGGAAAGAGCAAGGCTTAACCTGACCGTCCTTCTTTGACTGTTTCTCCTTCACATGTAGGAATGTATGCCTTAGCTGTGGTGTCGACAATCCAAGCCTACAACTCGGTCATCCAGCTTCGCATGGCTTCCTTGATCGACACTCATCTTGGACTAGCATCGTGTCGTTTTTCAGCTAGAGTGGAGTCCGGGGCGCTGTAGCGAAAGCTCCATGGCGCAGCAGATCCTGGCGGCCGTCCCCTTTCAAGGGTACCAGTCACAGCCAGCTGTGATCAGCGTCTTCAGCCACAAAAGAGCTTCGGTGCGCGGGCGAGTGTGAGCTACAACAGTATCAAAGATATTGGGAAGCATCAGCCGGTGGGAACATCGACCTGATTCAAAGTCGAAACCGTCGCAGCCCGGAGTCTTAGCAGCAAAGTCCCAACCCTTCCTACGGCAGATTCTCAGCCCGATGGCGCCATCCACTTCCGGGCTGTCAGGAGCTTTCTCCATGGCGCCGCAAAAAGGGCCAGGACAGTTCGACGGTCGGATTTCGTGTGCTGAGGCTTTTCATCACAACTATGCTGTCCAAGAGAGTCGTCTCCATGAGAGTTTTTCAAGCCTTGCAGGTCTGGCTTGTAGTAGAAGGGTTCTTGGGAGAAACGCATCCTGCATGTGTTTTGCATGGGACTGATGGTTAATCCTCTGGTCCTTCCGAGCGCCACGGAATCAGCATGCACAAGTCGACACAGTTCGTGGATGCCTGCTGCCTGCGAATTAAGATCTCCGAACTCAAACCCTGCCCGTTACACTGCCTGCATGTGGGATAAACCGAGTATGGGCCACACCTTTTGCTTGCCAGCCGAACTGATAGGTAATGCAAAATTTGCAGCGTGCACCTTTGGAACTCAAAGGGACAGCACAAATGCCAGATTGCGACGGAATCATCAACCAGAAAATGGCTTGCGGGCATCTCCCCCGGAGGCCGGAGCCACCCTATCCACCTGAAACAACCACAAACGCTGTGCGTGAGCCTTTGAACTGTGAAGCTGGAAAAGAGTCGGCTGCTGGGACCTGATCCGAGAAGCCGATTCTTGTGGCGAGGCGAGTATTGCGGAAGATGGTGCTCGCTGGCAGGGGCAGAAAGTCGCTCAGCACATCTCTCGGGGTTTCGTTTCCTGATAAAGCCTGTGGTCTGTGTCGCATGAAGCTTCAACAGCCGTGCTCAACAGGCTTGATCCTGCTCCGATGGGCCCGCTGAGCTGGATACCCTTTCAAGCAGACTGCAGCTGGCCCTAAGCAGCATCCGCACCCGCATGGCTTTCCTGCTCCTGGGCCGCAAGACAGCCAGGAAGCATGTTCAGAGTTGGACCTCAACAAACAGCAGCCTGCCGCCACGAAGCTAATCCTCCTTAGGCTTCCCAATGCGCTATGAACCCCTTGTCTAACAGAAAACCACCAGAGGTGCGAGAGAACATTTAGTGCAGTACATCAAGTCCAGTTAGCAATCAAGCCCAAAAACACGGGCTCCCATGACGTTGTGTACTCTTTTCTAACGTTTTGACCTCTGAACCCAAACTGGCAGAATTTTGGCCTGCCTACAGCAGAATTGTGGCTTGCGAGTTTAAATGTTTCAGGGTAGCGAGCTGCACTTCGCTGCAAAGGGAATTCCAGATAAGCGTGACTGCACATCCCAAACCCTGTGGTTTTGTATGCTGCGAAAGCCAGCGGTAGTTCTAGCTTCTGGCTGCCACATGTGGCGGTCGTGTGTGTCTCAGCGCCCTGCACCTCCAGCGGTCTCCATAGCTTAGCAGCAATTGCGCCTGAGTTCGCAGATTCTGCAAGCATCCCAAGCTCAGAATGACAGCTGCGCAGCCTCGCCCAGACCCCGCACGCTGACTCGGTGCATTTTCCTCTTCGCAGTGCGAAGTAGCTTCCACGGACAGAGCTTGCAGATACAGACTTCATTGCACTGCTGCGCTACATGTATAGTGATGCTAATGTTTACTATCTGCACCCTGGTTGTTATGTAGATAGTTTCTACAACACTTTATCGGTCTTATGACTTTTCCGAGGAAGCTTTCTACTGTGCATCGATATCACTGGCCCGTCGCAATCGTCATCATAGTCATCGTTTCTAACATCTTGTACTACCATGCTGTTGACTTATCGTTTCCGTTGCTCATTATGTAAGCAGGGTCGTCCTTGGTATTCGTGCAGAGTATTGCTGCAAGAGAACGTACAACTATAAGATCCACTCTGGCCAGTGCACTCGCAAACCCAGCAAGATGTTGTCTCATAGCTGCATGTACTTATGTATGTAATGAACTGTACGTTTGCGTATATGTAGATGTATATATACATATATAGGTTAATATGTATCTCTCTCACCCTCCCGGGCATGGGGTCGGTCAAGACATGTATGTATGTATGTATGTATGTATGTATGTACGTATGTACGTATGTATGTATGTATGTGTGTATATATATATATATAGAGCTCTTTCTTTCTTTCGTTAGGGCTGT